ATGATTATTAAGAAAGTTTACATAGTTTCCACCTGCCACCATACAATAGATTGCCTTAACCCAGTTTATATAACCCCTTCCTCATACCCCCAGTAACCATTTTATTCTTAAAATTTAAGAGTTTGTTTTGTCTACTTCCACATATGAATAAAGTTATGTGATATTTGTCCTTCTCTGCCTGATTTATTTCACTTAGCAACAATTTCTTTTTTGTGCTCCACCTTTCTCATCTTCGTGCAATGGGGGGCTCTACAAGCTGACTCCTGTGTTCTTTTAAGAGGACACTGTTAATCACTGAAAACTTCCTTGCTTTCTGGTGCAGTAAAATATCCCAAATTCACCTGCCCTGCCTACCCTCGGGAATCAGCGATTTGTCCAGGAAGCTCTGGTTCCTTTCAGTGAAGGAAAATCCCTTCAAATTTAATAATAGCATTTTAGGACAAATTAAAGGAACTATTACATTGCACAGTGGCTATGAGATTAAAGAAATGTAATACCTAGGTGCTAACACAATGAGAAGATTCTGTAAGTATATGAATAAGGATATAGATGGCAGATCCAGGAAAAGGGATTATGAGAGTGAGCAGCGGAGCTGAACATCAGTAGCCTGCCATTGAGAAGTTCACTGTGATGATTCTTCAAATGCCCTGTCGGTACCTCCATCAGCTGGGGATTATGTTCAGTTGCAGAGAGCAGAAAAACCACTTTGAGTCATTTAGCTAGAGGGAAACCTCTTTATGGGCAGGCGCAGCTCTAACATTAGGGAACGATATCGATGCTGCAGCATTGTCAGTGTTAAATTAATGTTCACGATCATGGTAAAAGAAGTTCAAAGGTCACCATTCCACATCTCATGAGGGATATACAAAGCAAAAAGGGACCCAGACCCTTGCACCTTTCCAGTCTGCCTACTCTAGAATATAGTTGTTATCCTTCTGCTTGCCAGCTGCCTCATTTCACTACAAGCAACAGTTTCCACATTACAGGCAGACAGTGGAAGACAGAAAGGCAAAAAGTAAACCGAATCTGTCTCTACTCAGCAATTCCATCCAGCACCTTCCACTTTCATCCATTGTGCAGAACTGAGTCACATAGCTAAGTCTCAGCGTTATCACTCTTCCAGCCTAAGTTTTATCCCCAGCAAGGGAGCTAACCCACATGGCACAGCAGACCTCTCCTGTCTCCCCACTGATTCCCTTAGCAGTGTTTTTCAGTAGATCTGCCTGTTCTATTCCCCACTCTGTCTCAGTGAATCATCTCATCCCCTGCACATCTGGCCTACACCCCAGTTCTTCTATGCAAAAATAAAAAAGAAATTTAAAAAAAAAAGAAATAATTTCCCAAACATAAGCAGGCCCCCTTATGTCACATGACTTTAGGTAAAATAAATCCTGCTGCCCCTCGGAAAGAGTGGTGACTTTCCTTTTCTTCAATTCCTGGACCATTCCAAGCTGATGGCTTCAGGGAAAATTTTTGCCTTTCTGAATAAAACGCAAATTATTTATTTTTTTAAAGATTTATTTATTTATGCATACAAGAACTGGGGTGGAGGCCAGACATGCGGGGGGTGAGAGGATTCACCAGAGACAGAGACAGAGTGGAGAGAAGAACAGTTGGATGTACTGAAATACACTGCTGAGGGGAGCTGCGGGCAAGGCAGGAGAAGTCTGCTGTGCCATGTGGGTTTGATCCTGGCCAGCCAGGGATCGAACTTGTGCTGCAGTGACTGGTGATAGCTTGATAGTGCTGTGTTTAACCCTGCACCACCAAGGAGGCAAAAAACACAAACTATTTTAATCTTCATTTTGAAATGCAAAGTGAGACTTCCTGAGACTCTTCACTCCACTAGAATAATTGAAATCAGGACACTCAACAGTGAGCTTGGTGATAGATGAAGTGATGCCCATCCACCAAGACACCAACAGGGCCTCAGCAGAGGGAGCAGGAGATGTGCTGTATCCACTTGAGAAAGGATGGAGACAAGACTTTTCCTGCATCGTTAGAAGATCGCTACCTCCTACCCCCTGCCCTGGTCTTAGAATCTATATTGCAACATATAGGCTACTGCCAGATATTATTATAGATGAATAAACTGGAGCATCATTTTCTGTGAGTCATTCTAAGCCACCCATCCTTGATCCTAGAACTTCCTGATTTTGAACAGTTTGGGGACATACCATTGCTGAGACCCTGATTACCAGATAAATCCATTGGATCAAGATGCAAGAGTAATTCAGATATTCATAGGTCATGATCAGCATTCTTTATTACTGCCCAACTGCTAAATATTTTTAAAACACTGAGTTTGTAAGGGGCAGCCGGGGGTGGAGTGGGGAAGATTGGAGAAAGACAAAGAAATGCCACAATTGTGTGCATAACTCAAGCCAAAGTATACTTTAGCCCCAGTCTATTCCCGGCAGAGGCACTTGTGGTCTGAACTGTCCAGCCAATTACCCTGACTCTACTCCTGTCTTTTCATGCGCACACACAAGCCAACCTGAGTTCCCTTGACCATCCTGCCTGGAGGGTATAGGCTCTTCTTATTAATTGCTCTGTTTGACATGGAGGATCATTGTACCACAGGCAGTTTGAGGGGTTTCATGGTTGTGGCTAAGCCAGGGTCACCCTGTGGTGGTGTATTTCCTACCAGGAAACATTCCAGAGTCAGACCAACAAACCAGTCAGGTTCGGTCCTTGTTTTTTTAGTCATCTAAACAAATGCCAAACAGCAACAAAAAATGCATTTCCACCTCTTCTTCTAAAATAGAAGTTTTAGGAGTAGAAAGAGCTCCAGTTGCTACAGTGAAGTTAGGACTTGATTTGCAGGGGGTTTGTCAAGCAATTGGCAAGCAAATCCTAAACTCCTTCTGAAAAGTAAACTTACATTACACTGTTTTAGGTTTGGGGATCTAGGGAGAAAAGTTACAAAACAATTGCATTCAATTACCCTCCCTAAGGCTGTTATAGTCTTATGTTGAGAAAAGTCTGTCTCCGTCTCTCTCCTCTCCTCTTCACTCTCTTTCTCTCTCTACTTGACTCAATCTCAGCATAATACATTGGCCTACATTGCATTGAGCAATGCCTGGGAATGCCAGGGCAACTCCCACCACAATGATGTGCCAGGACAGAAAATCTATGGCAGAGAGGTGAGCGGAAAGGTGAACAAAAACACTGCCCCTGGCCACCACTCCTGAGCAGAGAGGGAGGGCAAGCAAAAAATGATGAAGAGCATCCTGCCCGCCCTTCTGTAACTGTAGATATGCTGTCCAATCCCAGTCTTGCTCTGAACCCCTGGAGCATTCACGAAGGTAGTCTCTGTGTCAGTGAGTTTATTCCTAACCCCATTTCTGTTGAGGTATAAAAAATACAGAATCTGGGCCTCCCTGGTGGTGCAGTGGGTTGAGCGCAGCTCTGTGAATCTGTCCGCAGCCTCTGCAGTGCTGGTTCGATTCCCAGCCGGCCATGGAGATACCCACATGGTGCGGCAGACCTCTCCTGTCTCGCCCACTGCTCCCCTCAGCAGTGCTTTGGGTCCATCTGCCTGTTCTGCTCCCTGCTCTGTCTCTGGTGAATCCTCTCACCCTCCCATGACTCTGTCCTGTACCCCAGCTCTTGTATAAATAAAAAAAAAAACTTAAAAAAAAGAAAATACAGAACCCATTGGCTCAGGTCAGCTCTTTATTGGCTGCATGAGTTTCATCCTCAGGCCATTCTTGACCTTAGGCTATCAAAGTCAGGAGATGTAACCCTCTGGCTGGGTCAAAGGCACTGTGGTGGGGGGTGAGGAGTGTGTGTGGAGATAGTGTTCTGGAATATACACTCCAAAACTCCCTAAACATGCCCAGGAAAACAAGAACATTAACCACCGACCCAAACACTGGTGAGATTCCATCTCTACATCCCCCTCCACCAGTAAACATGAAATTGGCATTCCTGGCAGGATGGCGGAAACCTCCAATGAGGGGTCCAGGGAGATAAAGGAGAAGAAGTCCAACTACTATAGTCTTCAATCACTAGAAAAAGTTTCCCCAAATGCCAACTAAATAGACATTTTACAGTAACTGTGGAAAACAACAGACTTGCACTTTTCTTTTCAGAATAAAACATTAAATTTAGAATGCCTTTGTGCCTCTTTTTCTTTGGCTAGCCCCATGTGTTCATCCTTACCCCAGCTGCTCTTTCTGCCTTCATTCCATACCAGCTTCACTGGCTGCCTTTCTGTTTGCAAATGAATGAAGTTCATCTTCATTTCAGGACTGCTTCATTTGCTAGTCTCACTGCTCGAATACCCTTCCCCAGGTTTCTGTAGGCTTCCTCCTCCTCCTCTTCAGGGGCCTCATATCAAATGTCCCCTCCTCAGGGAAGCTCTCCCTAGCTACCTATGTAATGTCATCCCCAGTCACGTGCCATCATTTTCCTCTTTCTATTCTTCTTAGTGGTCAGCACTTTGATCTCAAAGAACCGGGCACATGCCTGTTTTGTTCATGAGTGTATCTCTTATGTCTAGAATGCAATTGGCATTTGTTGGATGGATGGATGGATGGATGGATGGATGGCTAAATTACTAACATCACTGATTTGAGTCAAGAATTTTATCTAGTTTGGTCAGATCTTTTGATACATGTCCCACACCAAAGAAACAAACTCTGGACACAAGGGCTATAACTAAAGCCAGAGTGGTTACACAATTGAAGCTATGAGAAGGAAATCATAATTTGATTTCAGTTCTAAATGAGCACCTATTCACCTTTTCACTTCTCTGTTGATGTGCTTTGGTATCTAACGAATAGTCCATAGAAGTCTAGGGAGTGTTCTGATGATTTGGTTGTTCAAGATGAGGAACTGAACCATGAGAAATGAAAATGAGTTGGCAATACTGTCTTGGCCTAATTCCAGCTGCTGCAATTATACTTCCTTCTGAATTTAATGATTGTTAAGAATGGCATTTTTAAATCACATATCTCCTATTTATTTGTTTGGTTGCTTATTTGTTTGTTTAGAATAATCTCAACGTAGAAAGTGATTCAGCATCAGAAACCAGCTTTCCTCTCTCCAAAGAAGCACCAGGGGAGCATCTGGACCACCAGGCCGCACACCAGCCCTTCCCCGGACAACGATTTCGGCAAGAAGCTGGACACCCTTCATTGCAAAGAGATGGCCCCAGATCCTTTCTCCTAGACCTACCAAACTTTCCAGATCTTTCCAAAGCTGATATCAATGGCCAGAATCCAAATATCCAGGTAATGCTTAGAAGTTGAAAGATAGAAAAAAGTGAAATTGTTCATCTCTTTCTTTGCTGATCTGATCCAAGGCAACTGTGCCTTACCTCATTTTTCTTCTTAACTCCTGAATGAATCCTGTCTATGGTCATGTGTTTTGTCTAAGGATACTGTTGTATTTCATCTCTGTAACACCCTGTTGCTTATTGTAAGATGTATTGTGATTCTGTGAGCCACTAATAAAGGAAAACAATTAAAATATGATACACTAATGAGGAGCTATATATCTGGTTTCAGAGATGCTGAAATGTAAGAACAAACAAGAAGTGAAATAATATACCATGAAACTGATGATATATGGCAGCTATAGGAAGCAGCCAGTCCAAGATGGAGTAGACGAAGCAAATCATGGTATGAATTCAAAGGTACTTAGGAAGGCGCTTGCTCTCAAAGCCTCTCTAGCTTGCCGTGGACACCAGAAATTCCTTCAGGAGGTGACAACAGTTGTAGAGCAACCCCGATACAAAACGGGGTACCTGACTGTGGGTCCTCACCCGCGCGCTTAAAAGGACTTATCAATGCTCTACTGCAGGCACACGCGAAAGGTTAATAAAGGTTTATTTACAAGGGAAGGGGAAATGAGGAAATGTACAGCTCAGGGAGAAAAGTGGGAGACAAAGTTTTAAATGAGTCCTACCCGATCCGCCGATCAGGAATCCCAAAATGGCACTCTGAGAGCTGGCCGCGAGCCAGGAGCTGTGTAGCCAGGAGGCCAGCGAAAGCGAGCCAGCCCAAGGCCCACGTGTTTGGTTTTTATATCCAACCTGGCTGCCCAACTCCACCCTCAGGTCCCAGCCACCCTCCCTTTGGTGGTGATGGGATTTGTCTTTCCCAATGTCCTGATGGCTTTAGTCTGGAGTGGGGGTGGGGTCCACAAAGCCTGTATGGGATTAGCTCAGGACATCCTTTCCCCCTAACAACAACACTTCATTTGCTCTAAATGGTTAATAGAAAAAAATGTGATCAGAGGAAGGAAGGGGAGAACTGAAACTCTTAGGGAAAAGATGAATCCTGAGAGATGAACACTGAGATGGGAGGGGGTGTAGCTGATGGAAACAGGGGTTAAGGGAAAGGGAGCTTGAGATGACAATAACACACTTATCTACACTGAAATAGCACAGTATTTTTCAAAGCAAATGTAGTGAGATTGGACTTTCTTACACCCTCCTGAAGGAGATGACGCACAATTCCCCAGTACTATCAATAATGCAACAGGTACTCAGGAAGAGTTTGCCCAGTTCACATGGCTAGTGAACAGTAGTTGTGAGGCTCAAATTCAGGCTCTCAGGTTTCTATGAATATTTACCCTCCCAATCCACATTTCAGAAACAAATTCCTAATTTTGATTTCTGTATTCATTCCCTGCCCACCCTGTTTCTTCCAGAGGTTGTCTGGATGATGACAGAGGGATATTCACCCTTCAGGGGCAGCCTAGCCCCTTTGTAGTCATTTGCCTGCTTCCACACTCTTTAAGCTTTGTTGTCAATTCTTTTCATTTGCAGAGGGGCAGCTGTTCCTTATTCTTCCTCTCTATATCAAATTCCAATTAGTTTACATGACAGAAAGTTCCTGAATGTAATCTCAGAACAACTGATCCTTCATTAACATTCTCTCTCTCTCCCCCCCTGCTACTGATCCTTCATTCTCTCTCTCTCTTTCCCTCTCTATACACACACACACACACACACACACACACTGCATGGCGCCATCTTAGATCAGATTTCCACAACCACAGTTGTTCTGCTTCTAACACTAGTGTCATGGTGGCTGGTGAATGTCACTGAGAACACAATTCAATTAGAATACATTGACCAGCCCTGATCTTGTGTAAAATGTATGTTTGATTGTGGGAGATTAAGAAAGGTAAGACTTTTTCTCTCAGGGATGTGACATAGATGTGAAGACCCCAGCTACCAAAGACAATGTCAGAGATTCATGAAGTCATAGGAAGAAAAAACATTGTGTTTCACAGTGGTTTTATATGAATAGATGGAAGATCTAGGGCAGGGCAGGGTTGATGGTACAGAAGTGAAACATATTTTGGGTCACTCTGAGAACTCGTGTCCAGCAGTCACTGCATATACCCCAGTTCATATTTCTGATGAGTCTTGTATTATCCTAAGTGGTTAATTAGAAAACAGACCCTTTTCTCCTCTACCCTCAGCCCAGGAACTCGTCACATGGCTTTCCCAAAAAAGAACAAAGGACCCACTGAGGGGTGGGGCAGATTGGCAAAAATTCACAGACATATTCTTACAGTTGCTCAACAGTGTTGCCATCATGCCTTCATCTGCAGAAGTGATTTTTCCTTGTCATAGATTTTATAATTTTTTTATAGAGGCATGTTTTATTTATCTATCTGTTTGTTTGTTTTGTTTATACATGCACTGGGTACAGTCAGAAGCGCGGGAGGGTGAGAGAATTCACCAGAGCCAGAGCAGGGAGCAGAGCAGGCAGACCGACGAAATACACTGCTGAGGGGAGCAGCGGGCGGCAGGAGAGGTCTGGGCGCCATGTGGGACCCTCCTCCTGTGGCCGGGGAGCAGCCAGGATCGAACTGGCACCGCAGAGGCTGCGGGCAGCTTCGCAACCCAGCGCTCAACCGCTGCGCCACCGGGGAGGCCCGATTTTATAATTTCAGGATGAAACTGCCCTTATCCAATGGCACTTATACTGTGCCCAAGAAAAGTTTAAGTTCTGTAAGTCTCACACACTTATTTTGAGATAAAAAGAGGGTGAGAAATGTCACTGCAAGACTTTATGTTGAGGATCAAGCTTAGTGTACAGCATTTGAGAATCACTCATATAAAGTTATCAAACTTGCCTCAGTGCAGGGGAATGGAAGGATACAGGGGAGAACGAAAACATACTGAGTACTTGGGACTCCACCTATAAACCAAATTTTGAGAATTTTGAGAATTTCTCAGGATCCTCCTCCTTTCTTCTAAATGACACCATTCATCAGAAAATCCCCAGGCCAATCCTGCCCCTCTTGGGACTTTTTATTTTTTAATTTAAATATTTTATTTTATATAATTCTTACATCTTATCATAATGTATGCATTTTCATTTTGGTTATATTCCCTATACAATTGCACCTCCCCCCTTATTTTGACTCTAGTCCTTCCTTTCCCCTCTTCTCCCTCCTCCCCCGCCTACATAGTGTGTCTCTGGTTTATAGTTGCTTGTTGATTTTGATTTTTACTTTGTATTGATTAGTCTTTTTCCTGGTTTCTTATTTAGGTTTTCTAAATTCCTGCTATGAGTGAGACCAGCCGGTATTTTTCTTTTTCTTTCTGACTTATTTTGCTGAGCATGATCCCTTCTTATTTCCTAAATATCAGGGAAGAACAGTGGTACAAAGGCAGCTAGGATCCTCAGAATTGGAAACCCCAGATTCGTTTTCCAAAAAGAACAGGGCAGCTGCAAAGTGCTGCGCTCACACAATGGGTTTGTGCATAAGGAGCTCAGCAGAGCAGCCAAGGCTGTGATATGTTTTTCATCATAAGAAGCTGTGTTGTGTAGCCAGACTGGAAGTAAAGAATGCTTCAGAACCATTTTGTCTGGCTTCCTGAGGGTGAGGGAGCTGTTGGAGTTTAAAGTTGTGAAAAAGATATGAGGGAACAGAGAATAAGTGGAAGGGGAGTTGTAAGAAGGCCCCAGCTGAGATTCTCTCTGGTAAAGTCTCTGAGACATTTTTAAAATGCAGCTTCCCCATGTGAGGTCACAAGGTCTGCTACAGAGATGGCACAAGTGCAAAATGATCTGCCCTTGTCCCCGCTGAAGCCCCGAGCCACATATTTACATAGAATATTACAGTGAAGAGTAACACTCTGTGTTTTCACTTTGTCTTACCCTTGTCCCAGTGCAGGAACATGCTCATCTCCAGTGCTGCGTCCAAAAGGAAGTCTTTGAGCCCGGGGTGGGAGGAAGGATGAGGTCACTCCTGCAAAGTGCTCACATTTTATTGAGTTAATCTTTGTACGGCAAAGATCACCATCATTCCAAAAAGTGTAGCCTTCATCTATCAGAGGTATTAGAAAAATGGGTTGACACTATGGAAATTTGTGTGGAGATTCCTCAACCTGCTAAAGATGGAGCTTCTATATGATCCAGCAATTCCACTCCTAGGTATTTACCCAAAGGACACAGAAACATTAATTCCAAAGAGCACCTGCACCCCTATGTTTATAGCAGCACTGTTTACAATAGCTAAGCTTTGGAAACAACCCAAATGCCCAAAAATAGATGACTGGATCAAGAAGATGTGGTACATATACACCATGGAATATTACTCAGTAATCAAAAAAGATAAACACATGCAATTTGCAGCAACATGGATGGAGCTAAAAGGGAACATGCTCAGGGAAATAAGTCAGAAAGAAAAAGAAAAATACCAGATGGTCTCACTCATAGCAGGAATCTAGAAAACCTAAATAAGGGACCAGGAAAAAGAATAACTATAAGAAAGAAAAAAGCAAAATCAACAAACAACTATAAACCAGAGACACACTATGGGGGGGGGGCGGGCAGGGAAAGGAGAGGTTGGGGTCAAAATAAGAGGTTTGCAATTGTATGGGGAATATAAAAATAAAAATAAATAAATAAATAAAAAGAAAAGAAAAATGGGTTGAAACTATTGACGCGCCAATCTGATACCATTAAAGTTAAAAACCCAATAAGACTCTGGCAATGCCTATTTTTGCCCACTCCCTCTTTGGGTCATTCCATTTCTGCTTTGTCCAATCCTTGCATTGAAGGACCATCCTCCAGGCAGTATGGAGGAGTTGGACAACTTATGTTCTATTGATCTGATGACTTCCTGTCCACAGAGAAAAGAAAATTGAGCTGTATTTTAACCTTCTCTTTCTGAAAGACCACAAAAGGATAGTGTTAGTCACTCAGAAAGATGTTCAAAAAAAGAAGTAAGCAGCTGCTATCCCTGGAAACCCCAGCCCTCC